CACCCGAAAGTTTCGGGCCGAGCGATGTGATATTCGTATTCAGGGGGTTGAAACTACCCAGGAGACAACATTTGAGCCAAATCTGTCCACGGAGAAAAAAGTCGGTCAAAAACTGGCTCAATTCTGGATGGTTGGGGCAGTAAAGGGTAAATACATAGTGCCGGAAGTTCAGGTTCCACCACGAGCCATCCATCTGACGGTTACGCTTGCATGAGAAAAAATGCATTAGATTAATCGACTGAGCACGCATAATAAATTTGAAAACAAATCAGCGAGCTACATTCATCGCTTTGTGCCTCAGTTTTCGAAATTTTGACTAGATGTGCTCTGGACTTTTCTCCGGGAAGGGATTTGGGATTTGAGTGAATCTAATCTTGTAAGTATTAAGTTTCATCTCCCCAAAACTTAGCGAAAGTGCAAGACTTTTGCGCTATGGGGAGTTTGCGCCAAAGCAAGCAAGAGTATCCCATCGGCGTCTGTAGACAAGTGTTTTCACGTAAACTGGTCTTATATCAGTCTTCAAGTGAAACCCCCTGAGGCGACAATTTATTCTGCATCACACTGTATTACCAGTTGTGGTTAAGTGTCTGGTAGGTTTTTCCCCGATTAACAGTCGAATGCGACACTGATGGAAACAACTTTTGAATTGTACGTCCAACGAGAAATACAGAGGCGAAATCAAACTTACAAAGAGAAAAAGTACGACGAGCAACAAATAGTTAAAAATTAGTTACAAAGAAGACGAGCTGGCCTAGACTGTCAATAGGCCTATTTATAGTAAGTGGGCGTGGCCGTCGAGGGAGCTGTAGTCCATCGCCCCTGTTATACCTGGGGATACGGCAGCAGCACGGCGTACCCGCCGGTGCTGCCGCAGTTTTACGACGCGGCGTGACTTTCCAATAATCTCGAACCCGAGTCTATATACATTACATATATATTACACAGTGGAGAATTCCAAACCCCATTTGAGAGCTGGAGATGTTAAGGGTAAGCAGCGCCGAGATTTCATATGAAGTCCGGGAAACTATTCGCTGTTCCACCTTGTACGAATATCCTCAATCTGTTCTTTTCCATGCTCCATCATTGACTGTACTCCCATTTCGTTTTCTAACCATCAGAGTTATAGTCCCAGTGCGAGGGTGGTCTAGTGGCGAGTGACCCGCTTGCAATACGCGCGGATCGAAGCTTGGCTTCCCACTCGGACCAGCGCATCTTTCGTTCACCGCAGAGCGGGCAATTCGGTGCTGCAATCATCTGTAAGGATAAAAACATCGGCTCTACATCAGCTGGCACCTGTAGGTCACATAGCTATATCGCATTGAAATACATCGGGATGGGGGTGGAATGCGTACCACAGCCGAAAGATTTTCATCAACGACAAGAGCTTTCCTTTGGCTTCAGAATTACTGTCTTCATGAAACTTCGCTCCTGGACGTAGTACACCTTCTCGAGCATAGTTGAAGTTATCCGGCATATGTGGCTCAAAAGCTTGGCGCTGTAGCTATACTAATTTCGGTGTTTCAGAAAGTTCCGATGAAAAGAACACAGGCGTTTTCCAACCCAATATAATTTGACACGTTCACGACGACCGATTACCCAGTCTCCAACAAAACGAACGAACGATATAGAGGGCTTGGTTACAGAATTAACGGAATTAATGAATCATACAGAAATCAAAGATAAAGCACCCGTTAGTTAATGGTTTCTCAGAACTCGAGAGCGTCGTGAACTTGTTAAACCGCGGTATCTATCGCTAGATTTCGTAGTTTTCACAGTTCTGTTGGATTCTTTTGACTTTTCTACGCACAAGCATACAGTAGATCTATGGGGAAGACTCTGTTTAGCCTCTTTTCATGTGATGGATTGGGTTTAGCTTCTACCTGGGTGCGAAGTGACGGTTTTTCAATTTCAGCTGGTTTGAAGAGATCTGAACTTATTAGACGGTTCAATGCCAACATACCATATACGGGCCTAACGTATTCTGTAGCTCAAGAAGGATTCTTCACCGAAAATAAGGGAAAGGTGATCGTCGGTGCATTGGAAGCTGTTCTGGGAGAATCCTACGACAAGGTTAGCAAATTATTTTCATGGCTAGATTATTTCCTATTGATTATCGAAGGATGACCCCAATTACGTGTATAAATGTGAAGCACAATTGCAATGTTTGCGACGATTATTTGCATCAAAGAGCGGCTTTCAGGCATTCACAGAGGTTCCAGGGTAAGGTGGTTCTATTTTGCCGAACTATTCTCAAGTTTCTCGAAAATCATTTAGGGTTCGTGAGAAGCTGGGCACTCTGGTGATCCGTGTACTTTCGTACAAAAACGAGGCTATTGATTATGCAACTGTGGAAGCGCTGTGTGCTTTGATGCATCCTATGCATAATCAGTATGAATTGCGCACGGAACAGCTGAATAAGCACAGCTTACTCAGCAGTACAAAATTCGTGGAACACCTACTTGATCTCATTGTCAATCACGTTGTGAGTCCTACATTACTGACATCTTTGTAGTCAACCTTTTTGCAAAGGGAGTAGCAGATTTTAGTTTGGATCAAGGCACGTGGTAGGCTGCGGATTCCTCAAGGCGGGGGGGTTCTTTACAGGAGGCAACAGAAAATTTTATCGATAGATGATTTTTTCCATTTTCACTAGCACGGGCTAATCATATCGTTGGAAACTGGCCATCAGGGGTGGTCCATTTCTAGTCCCTTCGTCAGCTATGAGAGGGTTAGAGGGAGAGTCATGCTAGGCCTGAGGTAGACTTCTACCCCCTGTGCGAGAAGTTATTTTTTCTGCACTTCGTGTTCTTCCGTTTTCTTCCCGGTATAACATGTGCACCCCAAAGCCAGCGCCGGAAGCTATTAAACAACTACTATTTCGTAGTTAAATTTCCGAATTATCTTATGGTGCTCCACAACCCCCCTGGACATTTCTGGTCCCCCAGTTCCCACGAAAAAAGAGGGACTTTGGCAAAAGTTTAGAAATATTAGTAGGGGGCAAGTAGAACGCCAGGCTCTGACATTTCAAATTCTTACCCAGCGGACAGGCGTGCTTCCTGTTGTAACTGGAATTCCATCTGATCTCTAGCCACGGGTCTTGTACATTGTTGTGATATACCGGCTCTATGAAGGAAGGGTATATTAAGGAGCGCGGCACAGGATGGCTTGTGATAGCTGCAATGCTCGATTTCCTGACGTATGCCGTATGTGCACCCTACAGCGAGACAACAGCTGGTGAACAGTTCGATCAAATACTGAAGTTGGTAGCCGCTCGAGGTCAAAGTTTCTATCGCCTTTTCCAGTGTCCTAGCATGACGATTGTTAAAGGTGAAGCAGTTCTTCATTGCAACAATTGTTGTTATTTGTTTTTTGTTTTCATTACTTTCCGTCAGTTCTTTTCGACCTCTGTCAACACGTTATATCCTGGAGATGGGGAGGGCGTGGCCGCGTACTCCATTTAATCTTAGCGGCGGCTACGCTTTTAGTTAGGCACTGCCGCTTTGAGACAATTGTAATCGCTCTCTATCTGGCACAAAGTAGAACAGGAGTTGCTTCAGATGAAAATATCCCACGAAAACGAATCTTATGCCTGTCCAAATGAAGCCGCCACACCCTTCCCACCTGCGGTAAATAGTACCTTCTTACAACTCCTTTTTCAACTGACTGCATGAGGGCTGTGCGAGTAATATTAGGACGATATGGCACAACACTGTTTGCACCGGTATATATCAGGATGATGAGGATAATTGGTCTTTCTTCAGCTACTTCTCGTAGGCCCTACTTTTGCCCACAAGGCCCTACTTCACCTTTCTCACTTTTCTTCACCTATAGTTTCCCAAAAAGGAACCCGTAGGAAGGCAGGGAAAATGCTTCACCTAAGTAGTAGAAAAATTCTCCGTTTGAGTACTCGCGCAACCTCTCTGGTAGCCTGTTGTTGGGGACTTCTTAAGGCTTATGACGGGTATGTGCATTGCTTCGCACTCCTCCTCAATATCGTTGCGATACGCTGAACTTAAATAAAGATTAAGCTATTACAAGCAGGTCTCATGCCTATACGAGTAAAGGTTTCCTATGCTTTATTTGAAAACGATGGTATCTTACTTGACTGATTGGAAGCCTTGGATTCCTGTTACATACGCTTAGTTGTCCTTTTTACTTGTTTGTGAGATGCTGTTAATTTACCAGCAATTTTGCCATGTGTTATGTCAAATGGGAACCTTTCCCAAAGGCTTACGATCTTGAAGTGATTTGCCCAAGAAACGATGGTTCTCACCTTTTCGGATGACTTTTACCTCTTGATATTTCGTATGCTTTCCTTCTTTGTTGTCTCGATTTTGCTTGAAATTGCTTCCATATGAAAACCTGTGCTGCTGTTCTTTAGAATCCAAATGTTCCCCATAATTTTGACAGCACATGAGCTTATAATATTTCTTCTCAGGCGCTGGAATGGTGATGCGGGCTATTATCGAGGAGTCAGATGTGGAAACATCGAAAGCAATGCAGATGCTAGCACTCACAGAGGGCGCATTTTTGACGCATTTGAGGTTGGCGCTACTGACGACAGGAAAAGATCTGGAAGTGAGTATATTTTACCACGGTGAAACGTTTACCAGCAATACACATTAGTGAGTTTGCCTATTCCACCGCCCCTCGCCCCCATGAAACTGCTGGACAGTGAGAAG